GAAACCTTCATTTGTCATTCTGCTTAATGTTTAACTAGTATAGAGGACAAGGATGATACCAACGGATTTGGTTGGGGAGGAGGGGGTCCCAAAACTTGATGAGTAAATTATGATTAGGTAGTTTGTAACTGAGAAACAACCCCAGGCTTGGAACTTAAAATGCTACGGCTGAAAGGATTTAACAGATCATTGTGTCCAGGGGTTCTTAATTTGGGGGATGGTAGTGATAATTTTCTTTAAGATTCTTTTGAAAATTATAAACTCTCTTCTCAGAAATTTGACATCTTATTTATTATTTATTTATTTATGATACTCAGTGACATTAAATTCTTAGGTCAGGGAAGCAAAAAACAAAGTACTCTGGAATTAAGTACACATAGCAAGTGTTGTCTTAGAAGCCACCTGTTGCTGCTTAAAATGAAACCTATTCCAACACCCTAACCCAAACAAGGACAGACAATTGTTTAGCTTTTATTTCATAATCATAAACTTAACTCTGCAACCCAGCTAGATTTGGAGGGGCAAGGAAAATATGGAACCCAATGAACTGCAGTGAGAGCACAAAGATTATGGGGTGTTCTGAGCAGATGAGGAGTGTTCTCCTGAGGTACAAAAGGAATGGTCTGCTGGTTAAGATAAAACAATTCTAATTCGTTAGAGTTGTCCACAGTCATCAATGGTGATCTACTTGCTCGTCTTGTCATTCCTGGACCCACAGTGCTCCATGGCCTCCACAATATTCATGCTGTCTTTCACCTTGCTGAGGACCATGTGCTTGCCACCCATCCCCTCAGCCTTGGCCGTGCAGGTGAAAAACGGAACCATCTGTGTTGGGTCCAGCATTTGCCATGGACAAGATGCCAGGACCCTTGTGCTTCAGGATGAAGTCCTCACTATCAAACCTCTGCCCATAGATGGACATGCAGCCTATGCCATTATGGCATGTGAAGCCACCACCCTGGCACATAAATCCCGGAATAATTCTGTGAAAGCAGGAAACTTTATAACCAAATCCTTTCTCCCCAGTGCTCAGAGCCCGAAAGTTTTCTGTCTTTGGAACTTGATCTGCAAACAACTCAAAAGAGACACGGCCCAAGGTCTCACCGTGGACAGCAATGTGGAAGAACACAGTGGGGTTGAACCACAGCTGGGCACAGAAGGCTCCGGGGTGGCGTTGGGTGGAAGGCCTGTTTATTTATTTTTTTAATAAATGAAAACTAAGGCCCAGACATGTGAAGTCACGCATTCAAGTTTACATAGGTAATGGTTGAGTCATGATTCAAATTCAGGCATTTGGACTCACAGTCCAGTGCTCTTTCTATCATACTATCTGCCTTTAACACATGAACCCCCAGGAAGAGGAGGTCAGAATCTACAGACTCTGTATCCTGTGGAGGTAATCCCTTTCTCTCCTAATTCACAGACCCCAGGAACGACTGACCCAAGCATTTCCTTCTATGCAGACATCAAGCAATAACTTTGGGAGAGAGTTTGGAGACAGGGGACCTGAGCCATAGTTCCTTCCCTTAGGAAGACCCTGGTATTTATGCTGAGGATTTCAAAGCAGAAGCAGGGAGACAGAAAGGACATGGAATGTGCTTGGTATTATGAGTTGGAACATGTATAGGTCTTCCCATCAGAAGAATATTGTAAACTAAAGAGTGGTTAGATGAACTTGAACTAGAACTGTGAGTCCTGTCCTTCATGTTCAGTATGGAGTTAAATCCCCTTTTCATGTCTGATCTGTGAGCTCAATCATTTATAATGTTTCTATGGAAAAATGAATTCTGAGCTATGAACAACATCTTAGAGAATAAACTTTTATTACTCAACTACTTCTTAGATTGGGGGCTGTCTGTAGTGATATAAATTCAAAGCCATTCTATTTTTATTTTACCTCTGGCTTTATACAGAATCTCCCACATGTCTGGAACATAATTGTGGTCTCTGATGAAAGAATCAATCTTCCCCTACTTCCTTCCTCCCTGCCCTACATTTTTCTAAAATATAGCTTAGATGTCTTACTCCAATTTTAAAATACAAAAGTGTGGGGTTTGTTTTAGGGTTTGTTTTTTTGTATAAAGAGAAATTAAGGTTAGGAAAAATTAAAAGAGGGGGGGAAAGGCAGTAAAAAGGTTATGCTACAAAATGCGTGCCTTAAGGTTCGTTACATTTTTCAGACCAGCAGCAATTTGGCTGAAGCCTAGATGCTGGGCCATCCCTAAAGNCTCTAATATTGGAGACAGCAGGATAATGGAAAGACTGTGGGCTTTGCAGTCCAAAGGACCCACATTCTAATTCTAAATGAGCCTCTTAACATTGGTGTGGACTTAGGCCAGGTAAATAAACTCTTTGAACCTCAATCTCCTCATCTGTGAAATGGGATTAATAATATCTACTTATATGAGATAATGGACAGAAAGTTTCAAGTACAGTAAGGCACATAGCAGGCACTCAATGAAAAGGTAGCCATATTGATTCTCCGAACTTTCTATCCTCCTCTCCTGTTTGCTCCCTCCAGCTTCTTGAGGACACGCCCTTCCTCGGCAGACTGCTCTTCTCTCCTCACCTGTGATGTCCTGGCAGTCACAGCACTCCTGGGCATCGGTGGGATCTGAGGTGTTGCAACAGCTCAGGCAGCGGCTGTCATCCATGTGCAGCAGCAGGTTGGCAGGGCACGCAGTACAGTTCTTGGTGCCAGGGCCTTTGCATTCTACACAGCTCTCGTGGCATTTTTCACAGTTAAATTTCTCCCCCTGTTAAGAACAATCAGGACATCCCTTTTAAGTGGGGAAGGATTAACAAAGCACTGGCATTCCCAGATGGGAGTTCCATCTTGTCTCCATAAAAGACAGAGGCAGATGGGGGACAGCAGAAAGGTGGTTTGGTCTAGGTCCTTTTTTAACTATTCAGGGTAAAAGACAACCAAATGTCTGCACTTGGATGGAACCATTGCTGGGACTTTTCCTTCTGAGATCTGCTGGTAACAATAGTGGGAGAACAGGCTTCTAGAATAGCTCAGGTTACAAAGTGACAGCTTATGTACTGACCACCTTGAGCAGGTTGTCAAGGATAAGTTTTGTGTCGCCCATAATACACTGACCTTCACAGTTTAAAAAAATTTCAATTCATTGCCCACATTTCAAAGTTGGGATATTCCACATGTAAATTTATCATTCCCATGTGGCAATGTGACTCTCCTATTTGATACTCTCCTGTTTGATCTAATCCTCAGTGCTTGCTCTGTCACCAATACACAGGTGAAACATCAAATTCCACTTTTCATCAAGCTTGAACTGGGATTTTCTTTCACAGAGCACTCTTCACTGATTTACATTACCTGCTTGGACTCTGCCCCAGAATTATATAAATTGTGATTGTTTAACTAAAGCAGTAAAATCTCAGTGGGGAGGGAATTGAGTGAGAGATAAGGAGAAAATGGCTTCCCTCCTGATATGTTGCTCCTTCACTGGTGCTGGAAATATAGATGAGAGAAGATAGCTTCCTATCTCACTTCTGTGCTGTGTAAGGATAGTATAATAGAAAAAGAAGGAATAGACATCATCTTTGTTGCACATTTGCATGTTTTAGGTGCCAATAAAGTGTTTTCTCAGTTGTTATTATCTCATCAAATCCTG